TTTTTTTTTTTTTTTTTTTTTTTTTTTTTTTTTGAGCAGTGTTTGGTCCTGGGTCTATAACCTGCTTAACATCTAAGTGTGAACTCAGAGAACGATTTTTCATAGCAGAATTCTGAAATCTGAACAAGCTTTGGCAGCTGAAAGCTGGGGGGGGGGGGAACTCCAACAACCCTAGAGCCTTCTCTGGAAGCTGTACTGTTCTGTTGGGTGCAGGTAATGGCGAGGGCGGGGACAGGGGTGCAGATCTGTGGGAACAGCGCCACCTAGTGGTCTTATCATTACTTTTGAGAGTGAGATGGGTGCAGTGCCAGCTCCCACCAGGCTGGGGCTGCAATCTTGGACATTGGACTCTGATTCCGGGATTAGGAAGGGGCCTGGAGGCATCCAGACCAGAACCTATCTCCAGAAGGCCCAGCGGCCTGACTCAAGCGTCTTCTCTGAAAGCTGCCGTACTCTTGAGGACCAGAAAGACTACTGGGGCCAGCTGTGTACTTGTTGGAAGAGGTAAGAAGGGCATGTGACTGGCATCCATGGGACCCCATTTGGATCTGGAAGGAAGAGGACTAGATGATTTCACAAGAGATATGACCAGGCTCAAACCAGGAGCCTGGGAACCAGGCCATCTGCTGCGGGAAGACAGACACGTGACCACGTCTCACCTTAGCCCTGTCTTGGGCGGTCACTCAGCCTCTCCCATAGCTGCCACCCACCTCCCAACACAGGGTACCAGGAAGGTGAATTAAGATGTCAGTTTCCTAGAACTTGGAAGTCCCCAGAAATCCTTGGGTCTGTCCCCTTCCTCTCCTTCTCTGTGGGAATCCACAAACACTACACAGCTCTGTCTGATCCAAAGGTGACATTCGCCAAGGCAGGGGACACTTAAGTAATGGGTACTTTTCCTAACAGCTACATCGAAATAAATAAAAGAAGCAGATAGAGTTAATTTGGTTAGTAAATTTTATTTTATCCATCAGATCCAATGTCTTGTCATCTTAACATGTTATTAAAATTGAATTTCGAGCCAGGCATTGTGGTTCACACCTGCAATTGCAGTGCTTGAGAGACTGAGGCAAGAGGATTGTGATTGGAGGGCAGCCTGGTTTAAAACAGAGAGATCATCTTAAAAAGTAAACAATAGAGTAATGAAATATTTAAATCTACCCCACCCCATTCTAAGACTGTGAGATTAGGCATATATTTTACACACACAATACACTTGAGTGTGGACACATGTGAATGCTCAGTAGACACACACACGCACACACACACACACACACACACACACACTACTAGTAGTTACTGCCACAAAAGGCACAGCATTCCTTGGTAGAAGAGACAAACCTGAACTGGCAAAGTCATGGGAGACTTCCTGGAGGAGAGGGAAGTTCATACTGGGTGTGGTGGTTTGAAACACAATGGCCCCCATAAGGAGTGGCACTTTCAGAAGATGTGGCTTTGTTGGAGTAGGTGTGGCCTTGCTGGAGGAAGTGTGTCATTATGGGGGCGGGCTCTGAGGTCTCCTATGCTCAAGCTTCACCCAGTGTGGCACACAGCTGCTTCTGCTGCCTGCGGATCAAGATGCAGAACTCTCAGCTCCTTCTCCAGCTCCTTGTCTGCCTGCATGCTGCCATGCCCCGCCATGATGATAATGGACTGAACCTCTGAGTTGTTAAGCCAGCTCCAATGAAATGTTTTTCTTTATGAGAGTTGCTATGGCCATGGTGTCTGTCCACAACAATAGAAAGACTAAGACACTGGGCCCTGGTGGCTGTGTGCTGAGGCATCAGGGTTTGGCCAGAGGAAGATAGCTTATCCATTCCCATTCTACTGGAGTGTGTATGAACAGCTTGTCCCTCTCCCCTCCCACTTCCCTCATTGCTTCCTTTTCCAAATCTCACACAGCCACCATGGCCCAGCATGCATGCCCTCTCCTCCAGGAAGTCTCCCGTGACTTTGTCAGTTCAAGTCGATCTCTTCTACCAAAGAATGTTGTGCCCTCTGTGGCACTACTAGTGATGTGTGTGTGTGCACGTGTGTGTGTGCACGAGCATGTGTGTATGTATGTGTGTGTGTGCACATGTACGCACACAGATATGGAGGTCAGAGAACAACTTCGGATGTCTATCCTCAGTCATTGCCCACCTTTTTTTTAAAAAAAATTATTTATTTATTTTTAATGTTATGTGCATTGGTATTTTGCCTGTATGTGTGTCTGTGCGGGTATCAGATCCCCTGGAACTGGAGCTACAGACAGTTGTGAGCTGCCATGTGGGTGCTGGGAATTAAACCTGAATCCTCTGGAAGAGCAGCCAGTTCCCTTAACCACTGAGCCATCTCTCAGCCCCGCACCTACCTTGTGTATTGAGAGAGGGTCTCTTATTGGCCTGGAACTCACCGAGTAGCCGGCTGGCCCTCGAGCCCGGGTATCTGCTTGTCTCTGTTGTGGTGTTGGGATTCCAAACACACACCACCACATCTGGCTTTCTAAAAATTATTCTTGTTGAACTAGTTCCAGGACAGGCCCCAAAGCTACAGAGAAACCCTATCTTCAAGAAAAAAATGATTTTTGTTAAAAAAAAAACAGGGGTTCTGGGGCTTCCAGTCAGGCCCTCATGCACTCAAGCCGGCAGTTCACTGACTGAGCCTCTTCCCCCGGGGTCTTTAAAGGATTGAAAAACATCAACAACAAAACACCTTTCTGGGCACCTCCTCCGGGTGCTGTAGAAAAATGTTCGGGGCTGACATCCGGTCCAGTGACCCCCCCTCTAGGGTTCAGCCCCACAGAAAACCCTCCACTGGGGCCCTATAACTGCCAGTCTCTTCTGAGACTCTCAGAGCCACCGGTGGAGATGCCCGCTTAGCGAGTGCGTGTCAGAGACAGTCTCTCACCTGGGTGGAGGTGCCCAGCTAGCAAGTGCGTGTTGGAGACAATCTCTCACGTGGGTGGAGGTGCCCAGTTAGCAAGTGCGTGTTGGAGACAATCTCTCACGTGGGTGGAGGTGCCCAGTTAGCGAGTGCGTGTTGGAGACAGTCTCTCACCTGCACACCCCTGGTGACAGACGTTCCCCAAACCACAAGCGAGCCATGTCCCAGTCTCCCAGTTCTTTTTCCAATTTTATTTTATGTATTTATTCTGAGTGGGGGAAACAGGCCACAACTTATATGTGGAGGTCAGAGGTCAACTTGTAGGCATTGGTTCTCTCCTTATCACATGGGTGCTGGGTTGAGAAGCCAAGTTGTCAGGCTTGACAGTAAGCACTTCTACCCATGAGCCATTTCTTTAGCCATCTTTAGTTCCTTAGAGTCCAGAATGATTAAGCCAGAGTTGATAGGGACTACAATTCTACACTTTTTGTTTTTCTCTGTAGCTTTTGGTTGTTGATGTTGGAGTCCCCTCTGTGTGCTGTGACTACCATTAATGAATAAAGAAACTGCTTTGGAGCTATAGCAAGGCAGAACTTAGGTAGGCAGGGAAAGCTAGGTTGAATGCTGGGAAAAAGAAGGGCAGAGTCAGGGAGCCGCCATGGAGCCACCAGAGTCAGACATGCCAAAACTTTGCCGGTAAACCATTGCCACATGGCAATACTCAGATTAATGGAGATGGGTTAAATTAAAATGTAAGAGCTAGCCAACAAGAAGTTAGAGCTAATAGGCCAAGCAGCAGTTTTGTTTTTTTGTTTTGTTTTGTTTTGTTTTGTTTTTTGATTTTCTAGACAGGGTTTCTCTGTAGTTTTTGGTGCCTGTCCTGGAACTAGCTCTTGTAGACCAGGCTGGCCTCGAACTCACAAAGATCCTCCTGCCTCTGCCTCCCGAGTGCTGGGATTAAAGGTGTGCACCACCACCGTCCGGCCCCAAGCAGCGTTTTTAAATAATATAGTTTCTGTGTGATTATTTCAGGTCTAAGCTAGCCGGGTGGCCAGAAACCAAACAAGTGGCCTTTTCCAACAGGTTGTCCTGGAGCTCACTCTGTAGACCAGGCTGGCCTCGAACTCACAGAGATCCGCCTGCCTCTGCCTCCCAAGTGCTAGGATTAAAGGTGTGCACCACCACCACACAGCAATTACACTTTTCTAATCAGGAAACTGAGGCCTACTGAGGGAAGGAATGTTACTAGGTCATGAAGCAAAGATTCTCATCTGAGTAAGATACCTCAGAGGGAAAATAAGAAGCCGTGCAAGTATGAGGACCCGATCCCTGGAACTCACAGTAGGAGGGGAAAGTTGTCCTCTGACTTGCACGCGCACACCGTGGCACACGTATGCACACACCCAGAGCATACGTCATTGTCATCTATTCTCCTGGTTCCTCTTAGGCCTCCCCCCTCCTGCACTCTGGCCTGTGGCACCTGCTGGCTGGATAAAAGCAGCCAGATTTATTTTATTGATTAATAGATAACAACGTATTCTTTATTAATAATCACCTTTAGGGTGGCTGAACAGGTGGGGACTTAGCGGACACCTCTCCACACAGTCTCCAGTTTCTGGCCACCGCAAGGGCATCGCTCCTCCCTGCCCACACCCGGGGTTCATCCTCAAGGAGGACGCTCCAGCACGTGCCACAGTGGTCTCACTGGTAACTCTCAGGACCACACGAGAAGCACACTTTTCACCTGCTCCCACAGCCCCTGCAGGTTCAGAAACATGTCTGGCTTCTCCATATAAATATAGCCTGGAAGTTTACGTAACAGGAGAAATTAGGAGTCCAACAGCCTGGGTTCTGGAACGTTTCCATTCTAGACTCATACAGTGATAGAGCTACAGTGTGTCTCTCTTACCCCGTCCCCCCCTCCGCCCTCACTCCACTTTCTCTGCTAGCTCTGCCCTATGCAGGAGAGGTGCTGACTCTGCTGAGGCACCTCCAGTTTGGGTTTGCCGCCACTTGCACTCCGCAGAATTCCCAGTAGGTGGCGCCAAACTGCTGCCCACAACAACCTGTGGGCGTCTCTATCAGATAGTGGCCCCTGTGTATGTGAAGGCTGGTATTAAAGACAACGCTGCCTTCTGGTCACCCACAGTGAAGGCCAGCAAGGCTTGGCTCATTTACTACTGTCCAGTGCTCAGTGAGGACTGGGCTCTAGGTCTCCCTCAGCCCAGGCACCCATTTGGGGGTGGGAGGAAGGGAGGGTACAATGCAAGAGCAGACAAAGTTCTCTGCACCCCTACTCTGGCTGTGAAGGGACAAGTTTGGTGTTCTAACCCTGGAGCAGGTGGGAAAGCTGGCTCTCATTGAAGACTGACGTGCCTGGGACGCCAGGTGGGCTCAGGGCGAGGCTACTCCCTGGACAGGTGCTGGCAACCAGCAGGCTTATTCTGCCGTGGCTATTCCCATATTAACATAAACATGGCTGGGAGGTGCACCCAATATGGTAGTAGGTGCTAGGCGTATATGACTGTCTAAATTAATTAATAAAATTAAAAATCCTTTGATATAGGGGTTCACTTATTTCAGGCTGTCCTTGAACTTGCAAGGTATCGGAGAATGAGCTTAAACTTCTCCTCTCCTGCCTCCACCTCCGCCTTCCAAGTGCCTGCATTACAAGTGTGTGCTGCCACATCTGATGTAGGCACTGTTGGGCATGGATCCCAGGGTACAAGCTAAGTAGGATTCTACCAAAGGAGCTACATCTCCAGACCTAAGATGAAACAAAATTTAAAATACAGTTCCTGCCAGGTCTGTTGGCCCATGCCTGTAATCCCAGCATTCAGGAGACTGAGGCAGGAGGATTACTATGAGTTTGAAGCCAACCTGGGATGCATAGCAATATCCTCATCAACAGCAATAGTACTGAAGTGGAAAAGCCAGTGTCTTAGTCCCGTTAGCCGCATCCAGACCCATGCGGCTGGTGGTCTGCCCTGGGCCAGCACAGAGGTGAGTATGTCAACCCTTGGAAGTTCCACTGGGCACACGAGTCTGAAGCCTACTTCATTTCCCAGCGACAGGGTTGTGTGGGCATGTCACTGTATACCTGACCCTCTACACACTACTGGGGCGTGAATTCTAATTGGTCTTAATAATAAAACCCCAAGTCTGATATTAGGGGGTGAAAGCTGAAAGATCAGAGAAGCAGAGCAGCCAGCCACTAGCTCTTACCTCTACCAAATCCTCAGATCCAAGAGGGCAGGATCGTATCTCTCTGAATCCTCAGACGGAATGCCATGCGCTCCTGTCTCCTCCTGTCTTATATTCCTCTCTCCACCCAGCCATATTCTTTCCTGTCTCCACCTTCCTAGTGCTGGGATTGAAGGTGTGTGCCACCACTGCCTGGCCTCTAGGGCCAATTAGTGGCTCGCTCCTCACTCTGATCCTCAGGCAGGCTGTATTTGTTACAACAGAAACAAAGTATCACCACACATTGCCTTCCACGGATGTGGTCTGACAGGTGGGAGCAGGCAGTCCCTGTCCAAATCCTTGAACCTGCTACTTCCTATGACTGAAGATTCGGCCAAGCCACTTAGCCTCACTCCAGCTGTGTGCGACGGAGCGGAGAAAATATTGTCCAGCTGCCACAGTTATTAAATAGTAACAGGTGAGTCCCCAGCTCAGCTCTGTAGCCGAAGCACTCTCGTGCTGGCTTGTCACCATGGAGACTTGTGCCTGGATCATGGGGAGCAAAAGGCTTGATTCTTGTCCAGAAGAAGATGGCCATCTAGGTGGAAGGTAAGAGACATGACGTGACCAGCCCAAGACCATTCTCCGCTGTCCCATCTAGGGTCAGATGGGGTCCTGTGGCACGGGACCCCAGGAGGAGGACCATGCTTAGGAGATGTATATGAGCATGCCTGCATGGGGTTTGGACCAACAGAGATAATGGGGGAAAGCAACCTCCTGGTGCGATGTTGGGCAATGGAAGGATGGAGAATGATTCGGAGGTTGAGGGAGAGGGCCCGAGCTGAGGCAGTGCAGAGTGGCCCAGTGGGGAGGGGAGAAACTAAGGGGATGGAGTATGAGAAACTAGGCCATGCTGCTGCAGAGGGTTGGGGTGTGGGGGGCTGGTACTGGAAAAGGCAAAGCTCGAGGACCAATTGTGATGGTTGCAGAAGGAGGAACCCTGGGGAGGGGGATTGTGCAGCAGAGGTGACCTCTCCTCCATGTGTTTTCTCTCTGGCCAGCACCTCCAAGGCCCCAGAGCTGGGGCCGACCCCGGGCTGGCAGCAGTCAAGCCGGGAAAATTCTTGTCCATTTCTAGTGGCCGCTTCTCCAGATCCTGCCTGTAAACACTATTTATTTTGGAAAGCAACGGCTCTGTTTCAAATAAAACGTTGGGACATGCAGTATTGGATTTCCCTGATCTGACATTGACCTAGAAAAATGTGCTGGCAGAAACAGAAAATGTGATGCCCCACTGTGCTGGCAGGCACAAGTGTCTCTGCTCCTGGCGGTGGCTGCAAAGGTTAAGAGGCAAGGAAGTGGGTGGGGCCTTCTCCCGGCTGGAAGCACGCTCTTGCCCCAAAGAGGGGGACAGCTGAGGACCAAGGGACAGTATGGGCTTCTCGTAGCCCGTGTGTGTGGTCACGAGGAACAGGAAGAGAGGTAACCAGTGGTGATGGGGTGGGCAGCAGAGAAGCTGGCGAAGGGGGAGGGGCCAGGCGGGTCCCCAGAACAAGAGCAGTCATTGGATGTGCTGAAGGTGGACAGAGCCCAGTTCTTAGGAAAATGACCAATGAGCCCTAAAGGAGATCTGGAGTTCATTCCTGTCTCTCGAGGGACAGGTTTCTAAGAGACAGGGTGGCCATATCCAGCCTCAGGGGGAAGTTACGGCCTGTCACAGGCTGGCAGGAGACTAGGCACTTCTGTAAAGGTGGGGTGGAACTGGGAAGCAAAGTTAACAGCGGGAGCCCCGTGTCATAGTGGGAACATCTGGGGTCATCTAGGGCGCAGGGTCCTGATCTCACTTACAAAGGAGGCCCAGAGAGCCACAGAAACCTCCACTGAGTCACTAAATCTCCCGGAACAGTCCTCAGTTGAGCCAGAGACCTTGTTCTGTGTGCTTCTCACAGAGGAGATACCGTATCCCTTTCCTCACCACCCGCCGTGGGATGAACTGAGATCAGAGGTGTACAGTACCCGGCTGGGAGCTGGGCACAATGAGGGCTCAACAATGCTATGCCACTCAGCCGGCTACACCTTACTGTCCTCATTTGTACACGACAAATAATAACCAATGTGCCTCACAGAACTTCTGGGGAGGGCCAGAGAGACGGCCCAGCTGGTAGAGCACTTGTCTAACACCCAAGATAGCCCGGGCTCCATCCTTAGCACCAGATGCACCATTGGTGCAGTGGTCCACGTGTGTGAAACTAGCTCAAGAGAGGCGGAGGCAGGGGTTTAAGGTCACCCTCTGCCACATAGCTCAAGGCCAGCTTGGGCTACATGAGACCCTATCCCTGAAAAGAAAATTAAAACCTGTAGGTGATTGAATGAGCTCACACACACAAAACTGCCCTCCCGGTGCCTGTGTGGAGTAACCTCAGCTGTTTGCCATGATAAATATTGTGCTCACTTGTCTCATCATGGTATCCTTCCACTTCCTCGTTCACTGTGTCTTTGAGGAGAGCTTGCAGTATGTTGAGTACTGGGAATGCCCCAGGGAGCAAGAAGAGCCCAGGGGCACGGAGTGCGACAGTCAAGTTGGCGAGTCCCTTGATAGGAGCAACCTCAGTCCACAGTTTCAAAGGGTGACGTCCATCCTGGTAGACAGGCAGGGCAATAGGGGTGGTTTTCTCTGTCTCTGCAGGGATGTGGGGCAGTTGTTTCACACTTGGTGATTAGACCAGGAAGCCACGTATGGGATCCGAAGCAAGGCCAGGCCATGTAGCCACAATTGCCCCCCAACAGGGCTTAACCTCTGCCTGTCATGCTTCTGGTCCCAAAGATACCACAACTTCCTAAAGCAGTTCCAACTCCTGGGGAAAAGTGTTCAAATGCGTAAGCCTACAGGGGGCATTTCACACTCAGCCCGTGACAGTTCTTAGACCAGCCATGCTCATGTCTGATCCCCGGATTTGTTGAGCATCCGGGTCAGGTGACTGAGAACTAAGGTTGCAGAGGGAAGGGTGGCTAGCCTGGGATTACCGGGGGGGGGGGGCTATCTCATCCCGAAGCTATTATAAGGAGACTAGAACTGCAGGCCAGCCACGGTGCTGGTGGAAGACCCAATGGCAGAGGAGGCAAAGAAAGGTCTGAGTGTGGAAGCCATGGGATCAAGAAAGGCAAGGAGATGGGGAGGGACAGGCTGCCCTTCATGTCAGCTTGATGAGACTGGACCTTCCAGAGTCTAGAAATTCACATGACTTTAAGCCTCTCACTTTGGGGAGTTATAGCAACCAAGGGAAACGAACACAAACTCTCAGCATGGAGAGTCCCATCCTTTTATGGAGAGACAAGCAATGAGGATCTAGAAGGCGGGGTAAGCTGGACACAAGGATTGCAGCTGGGGGCAAGGGTCAGACAGGCCATCAATCTCTCCCTCCCACTCATCCACCCCAGGTTCACACCCCTGCTCTTGCTGCCTGCAGCATTCAGAGCTCCCTGGTTCTGGCCAGAAGTGGAAGCCCATAGAGAAGGAGGCTGTCAGGTTCCTGGGCTAGAGAGGACCAGGAGGGCACTGGTGGGGCCTGTGACCAGGGTCTAGAGTATTAGCCGCTCCCCAGGTCCCTGGGTGGGACAATGAGGAACTGTGATTTGTCCAAGCCTATGAGCAGAGAAGGGCAGAGCTGGCAGGCCGCCCCAGTGTCTCCTAGGTCTCTGTGATTACAAGCTCTCATCGCTGTAATAAAGAACACCTCGATTCCTCCCATTTGGAAGCCGTAAAATACCACTTGGGCTTGGCTTTCATCTTTCCAGGCTGCGGGCTGCTTACCGAAGCCTTCCTCTTTCATCTCTCTTGCCTTTAATTGGCAGGTCTGAGGCCAGGGATCTCAGGAGCCGGCCAAGGCCTGACTCCAGTCAATCTCCCTGTTCACTTCACCACACAGGTCTCTGCTCCATCCTGGAGCAGACAGCTGAGCAAGGCCTGAGCGGGCAGAGAGGTGCGGAAGAGCTTAACCCAGCAGGGGGCCCATGAGTAGGTGGGGCTTGTGGCTTGGCTGGGGTAATTAACCCGTTTCCTGGTCCCTCGGGTGTTACTTGGGGGTAGATAGAGTTCATCACCCTTGGAAGGATGATGCTTGAGGCCGATGTCCGGGAGCTCAGGTGGGACATTGCTCAAGGACGCTGTATCTGGGGAGAACTATTTACGGGGTGGATGTTTTAATGTATAGTGACACGCTTGGCGTAGCTCCCCTTGATCTAACTTCACCATGATACTCAGGGATGTGCACAAACTGAGGCACGTGTATGTCCCTGTTTTACGTGCATGAGAGGGGGTCAGAGGTCAGGTGGAGGCTGACACCAGGACCAGGGATTTTGCTCTGGCAGAAGGGAGACTTTACCCATTAGACTAAGGGGGCCAAATACCATTGAGCCTTGGAGCCTCTGAGACTGTGATGCTGTTTGTTTGCCTCAGAGGACTACTGGGGTGAGGAGGGGGCTCAGACAGAATGCATGCACCGCTGGCCGTAGCATGCCTCACGGAATATTGTTTGAGCCAGGCAGCCACCATCTATGTCCACCTTCTCTGTGACTGACAGCATGCTTCCAGGGTCAGCCTGCCCTTGACCCCTCTCATTTCATTCTCCCACCCCTGAAGCTGAACCTAGCCCTGCGCCACTATGACTGTTCACTGTGGACAAGCTGTCTCCACCCTCAGAGTCCCCTATGGGGAAGCAGTATATAGAGGAGGGAGGAAAGGAGGGAGGGAGAGAGGAAGGAAGGGAGGGAGAGAGGAAGGTCTTCTCTGAGAGCAGACCTGGGTGGCTGGCCTTACCCATCCCATATCCTCTGTCTCCCACAGTTACTTCTCAGGTTAGGCTGCAAAGTGAATCCCAGGCCAGTCTGGGCTACAGAATAAGACCAGTGCTAAAAATCAGACATGGCTTCATCTTTGGAGTTTTTAGGGGGTGGTGCTGGCTATGGGTCTGTGCTTGATGACATCTGGAAGCCACCCAGAGTCGCTTAGGTGACGCAGTGGCTGAACCCTGGGTTGTTCTCTGCTCTCACGCACTTGCTCCTAGAAGCAATCTAAAGCTGTATACCTGAAAGGTAGGTGTAGCTCAGTTTGAGACTTGACAATATCTTTTGTCGTCATAGTGATGTTTATAGTTCAGAAACAAAATATGCTTCAAACATCAAAGTAGTCTCAAGTCACTGGCTGGGCCTCTCCAGCTTTATTAAGATAGAATCAACAAATGAAGATAATATATGTATATATACGGTGCAGGCCTGTAATCCTAGCACTCAGAAGGTAGAGGCAGGAGGAACGGAAAATTCTGAGCCTCCCTGGGTGTTGTGAGAAGTCTTCCCCCAGGGAGATGCAAATCACATCTTTCCCCTTCTTCCTGAGACTCCAACAATAAAGTGAAGACCGGATCACCACAGCTCACTCTGAGGAACCAGAGTTCACTGGGCAGGGGTGAGGTGTTCCGGACAGGAGTGTGAGTGGCCCCAAAGCAGCCACACTGGACGCTCTTCCCCTGCTTAACTGACGGTTTCCCCATAGCAACCTAGATGGAGTATTAATCTTTACTAACGATATACCCTACACTTTATACAGACTATACTTGAGCATTCCCTAAACTCCTAGGCCACATGCAGCTGGGATGGAATTGCACTTACATGTGGGAGGGAACAGGTAAAATCTCGGAAGAGTCTACGGACTCTCCCCACCTGCTTCTGTAAGGGAAAGCTCGCAGCAGCCGCAGAATGCTATTTAAAGATACCCGGATGGAAACAGCCATGAGCAAGCAAGCGTCTGGTTATACTATATACAGACGTGTGCACACATAGTACGGGCTCGACTCTCGGAAGATGAGGCTGCAGCGTCAAGAAGACAAAGTGCTCGTCAAGGAAGCGTGAGGACTTAAGTTTGATTCTCAGCGTCCTTGTAATAGTCAGATGTGGTGGTGCATGCCTGCAATGCTGGAGCTCGGGAAGCAGAGACAGGAAGAAGCCTGGGCCTTCCTGGCAGACCGTCTAGTCAACTCTGTGAACTCGAACCCCATTGAGAGACTCTGTCTCAAAAAATAGTGTGGAGAGAAACTAAGGAAGAAATTCAGTGCCGACCTCTGGCTTTCATCCACATGTATAGATATGTGTATGTGCACACACACATGAACATATGCACACACATGTGTGCACACACACAAACATTTATA